TAGGTCTGGATCACTGCGTTGTCCCGAGATCACTCGTCCTCTTAAACTCGGAGCCTGATCCTCCCCAGAAATCACCATGTGTCCCAACATAGCTGACAGTTCTGCTATGTTCTCTCGTGACGATGATAGAACTCGTATAGTCGATAGGATTCTCTTTCGGCTCAAGGCGTCGGCAACTACGTTTGCCTTACCCGGATGGTATGCAATCTCCAAGTCATAATCAGCTATCAACTCGAGCCATCGTCGTTGTCGAAGATTCAAATCTTTCTGAGAGATCACATAGGTCAAACTCTTATGGTCCGTGTTAAGCTTAACCTTTTCACCGTATAAATAAGATCTCCAAATCTTCAATGCATGCACTACCGCAGCTAACTCGAGATCGTGCGTTGGATAATTTTCTATGAAAATCGCATAAGTCACTATGCACAAGTTCTAGAATGTTTGAACTTCTTTCTACGTTTGGAAATGACAGCCTCGTAATTTTTGTTTTCATGCAAGTAACGCAACGATGATCATTCTCCAATTCACATGGTGGAATAAGATCTAACTTAGACATTACATGCATCCGTTTAAAATGAACGTGACCTAATCTAGCATGCCATAAATCTGAAACATTGGAAGAGAGAACATACAAAGAAGTACTCGGTTTAGGCCTTTTGTTTGAGTGGCCTTTCGGGGATTTGTTTGGCCTCTTTTGGCCCCGTTTCTTCTCTTCCTCCACCACATGAACCGTAGTAGACGAAGAAACATGTGTGTCTTTCTTGTCATGCATTCGAAAGTTCTCTTCAATCCGAAGATGCGATCCCAATTGCTCAAGGTTCATATCCTCCTTCCTATGCTTCAAGGAACGCTTAACGTCCTTCCAAGATGGTGGTAGCTTGTCAACAATAGAAGAAACCATAATGGTTTCATCCATTTTCAACTCATGTTGAGTGAAACTACTCAAGATCCTCTGGAGCTCATGAAATTGCTCCATAACCGGTCTTGCATCCACCATCTTGTAAGCGTTAAACTCGTTTACAAGAAACCTCTTACTCGAGGCATCTTCCGACATGTATTTCTCTTCCAATTTCGACCACAATTCTTTTGCAGTCTCTATATTTTGATACACATCAAAAAGGGCATCGGACATACCGTTCAATATGTGTCCGCAACACACATAATTGTCGTTGTCCCACTTGTTCCTCGTGCGTACTTGAGCGAGCGTCTCTTCTTCGTTCTCCTCCGGTCGTGGAGTGCGAAGAACCCATACCCGTCATTCGATTTCCCCTTCCCCGTGTATCCGAAAAAAGAAATAACGTTTTAGATTGTTAGATTAATGTGGGTCTGGATACAGCCAGAAAGAACAATAAAAACAATGAAATCGAAATAAAAACGAAAGAACCGGATATGATCTTCTAGGCGTGTAGAACACTTTCCTAAAACGTTATTCCCTCCCCACCGAGCAAAGGAGAAACCCGAGAATACGTTTAGAGATACAAAGAAGACCAGCAACGATTGATCTGCTCCTCAAACGTTGCCCGAAACAGAAAAACTCGAGAAAGAAGATGAACAGTAAAAGATGGAGAAGAAGTAGCAAGTTTCTTCACCAACAAGGCTCACAAATCTCTCAAAAATCAATTAGATTTCATACTACTGTGTTCAGACGTCTAGGAATGTTTTTAACACTCCAAAAGTCAAAAGGTGCAAGGATAGGGAAGTTTTTTCCGAACAGACACGATTTTTCGTTCATTTGAACAACTCAGAAAAATCAGGCGGGTCGCTCATTTTTCGAGCGGTCGCTCATTTTCCAGTTTTGTTCATCAGAGAAAATGAGCTACCCGCTCATTTTCCTGACCGGTCGCTCATTTTCGGTCGCTCATTTTCCGAGCGGTCGCTCATTTTTTGAGCGGTCGCTCATTTTTTGAGCGGTCGCTCATTTTTTGAGCGGTCGCTCATTTTTTCCAGTTTTGTTTTATCGGAAAAAACGAGCCAAACGAGCCACCTTCAATATCTTCCGACTAATCCTTAACACTTAATCAATTCACGACACATCTTTTACAAGTATTTTACTCCTCCACCACACTTGTAATACACGTGAAACAAGAATCCTTTGAGAGATTTTAAATTCCACCAATCTACTCTAAAATAACTAACAATGTGTACATTTGCTTTACTAATATTGTTACGTACGAATTCACGTACTTTTTTATCGCACAAAAAAAAAAATATATATCTATATAGATTAAAAGGATTTTCAGTATTCAGAATCTAAAACGGTTAAAAAAAATTACTTAGAAAGAGATATTACAAAATATTGGGAGTTTCATAATTGTTGTATAACTTTTCAACTTCATAAATTAGCTTACCTTGCAAGCGAGGACATGCGGCGATTTATTTTGAATATTTGGTGGTGCATGCATGGGCATGCATGTGAAGAGTGGAGCCTACGCACGTGACGAGAACATGTGCGACCCAACTATATCTAATCCTAAAGTATCACAATACAAGCGGCGATTTATTTTGCTTTTACTCACTTGATTTATATTTAATATCAAAAAATACTACTCACTTGAATATATAGTAATAGTATATATATATAAGCCTATCCAAATGAAGCGTGGTTTAGAAAATATTGACTGTGTATGTATTTTTTTTAAAATCAAATTAATTGAATTTAAAAAAATCGAATCGAATATAAAAATAAGGGAATAAATGAAAACAAAATTATTTAAAAATAATATATTATTTTATGTGTCGGTTTGAAGGAAACATACATTTTATTTGTATGTATGACGTAATTAAACTTCAAAATAAAATAATTAAGGTGGCTTTCCTTGATTCCGATTAGGCTGATTAGCATTATTAATGGAGTTGGAATCTAACTTAAGGTAACACTTAATTAATTATATCTGAATTCAATTTATCTAAACATTTAATATATAATCCAATAAATGAAGACTTTAAATATAAATCAAATTCGAATATGAGAATTTAAAATAATTGAAAAGCGGAATAAATATTTTTATCAATAAAACCCAAAGAATCAAATATTTTTTTTTATAAAATACAAAATTTAAAATAAAATATAATTGAACCAAACCCGTATCTCCTTAATATATATATATATATATATGTGTGTGTATGTGAGCACATATCTTCTTTGCTTTTTTTACTGTAATTTAAATTAAAAATATAGAAGTTGAAAATACAAGGAAAAATGGATACAGTGCAAAAACAAAAAAGGTAAGAGATGAGTCATATGAAAATTAGATTATTAGTTACAAAAAAAATAAAATTAGATTATTGGATCGACGAGTGAAATAATGTGAAACGATGTTCTTTCGGCAGGAAAAAAAAAAAGAGAGAAATCGGATTTTAATATTTGAAGGAAAATTAAGACGCAAGAGATCGAATATGCTTTCAGCTTTCCATGTGTATGCGTGTGTATTTCCATAATTTCGGAAAGTTTGCGAGACCAATTACATAAAATATGAAATAATTTTCATAAGTCTTATTTCTATTTGTTTTCATAATAATTAGGGAACATTTTCCTACACCAACTTTGCAAAATATGACCTTTTCCTACACGAATTTTTAATTTGACAAAAAGCTATACCAAATTATCAAATATGCCAAATTGATACACGAACTACACAATTTAACTGCAATTTCTACATAATCCAAAACCGGTGTTAAGTGTTCGTTAACCGCTGACGTGGCACGCCACGTGGCGGCTGACGTGGCACGCCACATAGATTTTTTGCCACATCAGCATGCCACGTCATATTTTAAAAAAATCCGAAAAAATATGAAAAAAATCGATTTTTTTTTAAAAAAATTTAAAATAAAATAAATAAACAGCAAAAAAAAATATACATATATATTCATATCTATATACAAATAAAAATATAAATATATATACAAAATAAAAAACATACACATATATATACAAACATCTATACAAATATATATATACATATACATACAAACAAATATATTTATATATACATATACATATATAAACATATATATATATATGTATATATACATATGCATATACATACATACATACATACAAAAAAAAAAAATCACACATATATATATATATTCATATCCACATACAAATACAAATATAAACATAAATACTTCTATGTATATATATTTCTATATATATCAAATAAAAATATACACATATATACATACATTTATACAAATATATATGCATATACATACATACAAGTATATTTATATATATCTTGTATGTATGTATATGCATATATATTTGTATAAATGCATGTATATATGTGTATATTTTTATTTGATATATATAGATATATATATACATAGAAGTATTTATGTTTATATTTGTTTGTATGTATATGTATATATATTTGTATAGATGTTTGTATATATATGTGTATGTTTTTTATTTTGTATATATATAGTTATATATTTTTATATAAGAGTATTTATATTTATATTTTTATTTGTATATAGATATGAATATATATGAATATATTTATTTTAAATTTAAAAAAAATCGATTTTTTTTCATATTTTTCGGAATTTTTTTAAAAATATGACGTGGCATGCTGATGTGGCAAAAAATCTATGTGGCGTGCCACGTCAGCCGCCACGTGGCATACCACGTCAGCGGTTAACAGACACTTAACACCGTTTTCGGATTGTGTAGGAAATTGTAGTTAAATCGGGTAGTTCCTGTATCAATTTGGCAAATTTGATAATTTGGTGTAATTTTTTGTCAAATTAAAAATTCGTGTAAGAAAAAGTCACATCTCGTAAAAAAGTTTGTGTAGGAAAATGTCATTTTCCCAGATCATAGGTTATTCACATAGAAATGGGCCCACAAACATTCTCGCCATTACCTTACATGGCGTGGTAGTAGGCCCACACTAGCCCAAGCTCGTGGTCCCCACTCGCCTTCCCCAGCGCGTGGATTTTTAACGGTGTCCCCCCCACCGCCACCACCACAGCCACCACCACAACCACCACCACCACCACCTCGTCTTTTCACCACTTCATCTTCTCCCTCTACAAATACCTCTACCTCTCTGAGTCTCTCTCTCTCAAATTCTCTCTGAGTTCTTAGGGTTTTCTTCTCTCTTTTTGTTCTCGCTGGGCCCCGAGTTATCTTATAAAAATTCGAGAGACTGTCATTATTGAATCTTAAGCAAGCAGCAAGCTCCGCCATTAAAATCCCACGCCCATTTCGCTGATATTTCTCGCTGTCTTTTCTTTGCCGTTTTCGTTTACTTTTGCTCTAAATATCATCTGGGTTTTGTGATTTTTCTAACCATGGAACCGAGGTTACTCGATGACGGCGATTTCTGGCTTCCGCCTGAGTTTCTTACCGACGAGGACTTTCTTATGGATGAGGAGAACAAGGTGTTCAAGGGCATAGATACCTTTGATGGGTCCGGGTTCGGAAAATATGGCGGCTCCAAGTTCTTCTTCCCGAACGAGTCCCGCTCCGTGTTCGGGTCTCTTGCGGTGAACTCGGGTCTCAGTTCTCCTGTCGAGTCTCTGGTCGGTTCGACGGAAACGGAGAGTGACGAGGAGAATTTCATATCTGGGTTGGCCCGCCAGATGGCTCATTCTACCTTGGAAGAGGATTTCGCCGGCGAATTTGGCGGTAACCATAATTTTCCGGCGGGCAACAAGATCAAGGTATTCGCCTTAGAATCGTTTCCCTCTCAATTACCCACTCTTTCGAGAATGTAGTGACTCACTGCTTTTTATTGTGAAATTTTCAGGGGTGGAGTCAGTCAGGTTCGCCGGAATCGACCCTGTGTGCCGCCGGAATCAGCTGCTACTGTCGACGGCGAGTCCCTTCTCCGGCGGCGGTTGATCTGTACTTCGCCACGGCCGAGGAAATGGACGAGCCGTACGGAATCAACCATGGCGGAAGAGGACTTCTTGGTCCACCCGTAAAACCATCTCCGGTCCCCGTCCCCACCAAAAATCCTAATATCGGCTCTGGCTACTATCACCACCCTCCCCTTCATTACCAGAAGCTTCAAGCCATCCTAGTAAACTAATCGAATCTCTGCTCTGTTTCACTTTCCTCTGTTATCAAAATCAATTCAGCAAGGTTCTTATTATCTGGATTTGTGTGTTCGTTTATGGGCATAACAGTTTCAGCAGCTGAAGCAGCAGCAGATGATGAAGCACAGGCAAGTGATGCGTAACATGGGAAGGCGTAGTGGCGGCAACGACACTGGTCGTGCTGTGGGTTTGTCTCCATGTGCATGGCCTAATCTGCAACATGCACAGCCGACCGGAAAACGTGTGTCGGCCGGAACCGGCGTCTTCTTGCCTCGCCGTGTCCCCGCCACCGAGACACAGAAGAAGCAGAGTGAGTTCCACTATTCTTTCTTTTTCATTTGTTGTTTCAATGTAAGAATTCCAATATTTGCTCCGTCTTATTTTGCTAATGGATTTGAATTTTGCAGCCCTTTCGACGATGGTGGTTCCGGCGAGAGTGGCTGAGGCCCTGAATCTGAAATTGGACGACTCGGCCGCTCAACGGATTGTCCGGCCTCGCTTCGAGTCTCCTGCCGATCTCAATGGTAAGAAAAATCAAAATCAGTATCTTCTTTCTTCTTCGCTTTGCCAAAACATTGTAAGATTTCCGGCATATATAATCGATGCAATATATGATGGAATACAATAATACGCAGATACCTCGTTGAGGTTCAGGAGCAGCAACAATGGCGGATTCTCGGGTCAGAACCGCGGGGGAATCAGGGCGGAGCAAACGGCGGCATCGAACGAGCTCCGGTTGCCTTCGGATTGGTCTTACTGAATCTCTAGGTATCTGGGTTTTTGTATTTTTGGGTGTTTGTTAAGGTAAAAGATGAATCACAAGGGGAAGAAGATGCAATTCCTGATAATGGCGGCTGAGGGTAAATGCAGTAATAATATCAAAGAAACTATGAATATACCTAGATGATATTTGCAGGAGGGAGAATGACAATAATGTGGGTATAAAAAAGGAATAAATTTTGGTTTAGAAAAAAAAAAGATTAGAGCTTTTGGTTTTAAATTTGGAGGTTATTGATAACTTTTTTCTTTTTGAATTTGTATTCCATTTTTCATCAAATTCTTTTTTTTTAAATGAAGGAATTTGTTGGAAGTAATTACTTCAAAGTTATAAAATCACGAGGCTTGATTGATTTACAAATTGGGTGTACAAAAATTCCAATCGTAATATATAAGTAGAAATAATTGTTGCTTAGAGAGGAAGGTTAAACGTTATTGGGCCATTGCGAGTCGTGACGCGTGTCTAATGGGCCTTCGTCCTGACACGTTTTTTGGGTACGATCGTTAATATATTAGAGGCTGAAGTTTTGGCTAAAATCGAAAGGAATAAGGTAATATTGAATATACAACAACAATATTCAAATATAAGTATCATTTTTTCAAATATTAAATTAAACGAATTCAACATAAATATGACTGGAATATTTTTGTATAAAATAAGTAGTTTATTTAATTAAAATCGAATCAAAACGGATGTAAAATCCAGATAATAGTAATTATAAAAAAAATTTAAAAATAAATCCATAACTAAGTAAACCAAAATATTAAAAAATAAGGAAATCCTGCACATGTCCATGTAATCTCTCGGGTGTAGAAAAGTTCCAAGGTCCAAAGAATTAGCTCAACCAACTACCAACAACCATAAAAACATTCAGGTTCAGGACCAGTATTTGAGTACCAATTTTCTCAATATATATATAAAAAAATGACAAGTACGAATTCTTTTTTGTTGCAAAAGGAATCCGAAATTTACAATGTAATTAAAATTTTATTTTACAAATACACTGATTTATTATAAACTCCTAAATCCACAACTAATTTTTAAAATTTTCGATTTTCTAACTTCTAATTTATATTAAATATATATTTTATAAATACACTGATTTATTATAAAATCCTAAATCGATAAATAATTTTTTTTTTCTAACTTCTAATATATATTAAGAATATATTTTATAAAGTTTTTTAAATTCGTATAGATATTGGATTTCCCATATTATCGTCAGATTTGTGGAATTCTTGTGTTTGTAGTATGGGCTAACTTTGTTGATAAAAGCCCATTATGACTTTGTTGATAAAAGGCCGGTTGCAATTTCAGCCCATTATGACTTTGTTGATAAAAGCCCATTATAACTTTGCTGATAAAAGCCCGGTTGCAAGATCAGCCCATTATGGCTTCAGAGCGAACCCTAGAATGGGCCGAGTGGGCTTTGTATTCAGATACACTGTGAGAGTATTCCGTGTATGCCGAAAGAAGGCCATTTTCGTCTGGTTCGATTATAAAAAAAGACAACTATTCAGTTTCCGTTCGAATTCAGTTTTTTTGTTAGTGAGAAATTCATTAAAAAATCATTTTTTGATTTTTTTTTTATTCGGTTCACTTTCGCAATCGTGATGCCAAACATATAATGTTTTTCTTTTTTTTGTTAATCAACCAAACATATAACGTTATTAAAACTGAATTACATAAATAGGATTGGTCCTGCTGGAATCGAATAATTCCGGTCGAGAAATAGTTAATATCATTCAACGTCGTCCCCATATGAGAAGACGCTAACATCATCCCAACACACATGTCTTTGTTTTTTTTTTGGATAACGAAAGACCCCTAACTGTTACTCTTTGGACGTGTTGACTAGGTAAACCTCCGGTCTGGGAGCAGACTTTGTATATGAATCATATAAACCCAGGAATTAACTTCCTCCCCACCAGCCAGGAATCGAACACTCAATCTCAAAGTGGAGTTACCTCCTACCCCAAACTTGACCACTCACCTACAATCTATTGGGTCACATGTCTTTGTTATTTCGACCTAATCAATCGATGTGGTAATTAAACCACAAGTCTTTTTCCTGCGTGTCTTGTTCGATGACCTGTCCCCCCCGAACCTTCTGTTAAGGTCAAAAACATCGCACCTTGACTGTATGTATCAAAATTAAATCAATTTATTATTCTCTTCTTTTTAATATTTTTATTAATAATTTTTTATAATAAATTAATTGATAGATTTTTTTATATAGATTATGACATTGTGAGTGGAATGAATGGGGTCGATGTTGGAGTTATGGACCGTTTGGTTAGTTGAATTTTGGCAAAACGCATTGCAAATTGCCAAATTGCGTTGCCGTCAAGCCGCCGTTGACCGTCTGAACAAAAATGGGGATTTTTTCTGGGAAAATAAAAAAAATATTGAATTTTTCAATTTTAAAAAGTTATTTTTTATCAAATAAATAATAATGTTTTTAAATAAATCTAAAAAAATACTGAAATTTTTAAATGATTCAAAAAATATATGAATTTTTTTACTATTATTAAAAAAATACTGAACTTTTTTAGTGATAAAAAAATATATAAATTTCTTTCGATCGTAAAAAAAAAACTAAGCAAAATAATATAAATCTTCTTATGCCAAATCAGTCATTTTATTTATTTTGACAATTGTAAAAGAGTTAGTATTTGTTTTGTCAAATTTAAAAAATTTAATATTTATTTGATAAAATAAAAAATTCAGTATTTTTTTTATCAAAATTTGAAAATTTAGTGTTTTATTTATTTATTTATTTTTACGACTTTCACCACTTGTTACGAAATCCAACCCATAATTTCATTATTTTTTTAATTAATAAATTTATCGAACGATCAAACTATATCTATGACGATCCAGAAATAACCTACATAACCGTAATTAAATTACGTATCCTCTCTCTCTCTACCAGTAGAGTTGAACCGACCATTTAACCACAACTAAATTCATTAGATTAAATTTCATTATCTTATCTAATCAAATAATAATTCATTTGCTTAGTTCATGAAATTACATCCAGTATTTTCTTCTTCAGTTCCTATCGAATCATGCGTACGCATAATTGTGTTGTGTTTATATATATATATAAGAAAATCTTCAACACCGTCTCCAAATATGATTCAAGTAAAAAGCGTTATTTCGTCTCGAATTATGATATTATCGAATTAATTTTTGTAGATAAATTAAAATCACAACGGTTTCGAATAATTATAAAACAAAAATAATTATTTTTAAAAAATAAGTAAATACATTCAGCTATATAATAGAAATAAACTTTTTAGGTGTTTCTTTTTAGTTTTCACATGACACCAACATATTATTTTCAGAGAATTCAAAAAAAAAATATTATATTTTTAAAATTTTATAACATACATAAAACCACTTCTGACCTTCTATTGAAAATTTATATCTATATAAACTTTAATACATAATCATAATCATTCATGTATATAAAATGAATTGGAATTGTATGCAATGGAATGCGCAGCCATTCGAGAAGTCTGGGATGACGTCGTCCTTTTGACCACTGACTTTTGATTTGTATTGAAATCCAAAAGAGGCCACAAATTACAAAGTTGCCACTCTGGTCTTTATGTGCATAATGCATGTATGGAATCCTTGGAAATGTAAATATCTATTGAAAAAAAAAATAATAAAATAGAAAAATCTCAAAAACAACATTCAGTTTTAAAATTTTAACAAAAAAATAATAAAATTTATAATTTATCAAATAAACATTAAATTTTTTAAATTTAACAAAATAAATATTTAACTATTTTACAATTGTCAAAATAAACAAAACGATTGACATAATATAAAGAGATATAAATACATCAGATTATTTTATTTAGTTTTTCTGATAAAATTTATGTATTTTTTTAATCACTAAAAAAATTTACTGTTCTTTTATAATCGCATAAAAATTCATGTATTTTTGTATCATTTAAAATGTTTAATGTTTTTTTAGATTTATTTAAAAAGTTTAATATAAAGAGATGTAAATTCGAAGCAGTAAAACGTGTATTATATGTAGTTATTTAAACGGGACAACTTCTAAAATACCTTCGATGTGCTACATGGACTTCTATCTATACCCTTCCTCAAAATTAAAAAAATTCATACTTCCATTCTACCCTTTTTCATATATAATTACCAAAATATCCTTATGACATTATTTTATATTTAATTTTTTAATTAAAAAATTCTCTCCTAGAAACTATAGTTTCTCTCTCCTCTCCTTCTTTTTCGGTTTCTCTCTCCTCCCACCATTAATCTTGACAGAGCTTTCTCTCTCTTCTATATTTTCTCTCTCCTCTTTAGCTTGCTATTTTCACTTAAAAAAACCAACGAAATCAAGAGAAAAGCAAAGCAAAATCAATGAGAAAATTGAAAATAGGTAAGCTAGTATCGAAATCCCAGTTTTTTCATGCACATTGATGATTCTTGCGGTTCTTTTCTTCTAATTGTTGTTGTTTTCATTGTTTTATCGATTGCAATATACTATAGTCATAGATTTGTGTCGAATATGCATTTTAGGTGTTTTTAGAATATTATTGTGTGTCACGGGTTATACAGGTTACATGGTCATATAGTCACTTGATCTCATGGTTCACAGATAATTAGGATAACAGACCACGTGTGTTACAATGGTTATAAGATCACATAGTCACACTGTCACATTGTCACATGGTCACATGGTCTTACGATCACACGGTCACAAGGTCATATGGTCACACGGTCACATGATCACATGTTCATATAGGCCACATGATCATATGGTTTAGAATGATCAAATTGGTAATAATGGTCACATGGGTGATGTCTAAATTTAAGCATGAAAGAAATAACTTATTGACTATAAATGCGGCTGAATCGATTAATTTTGTACTAAAGAACGTAAAAATGTACAACTTATTGACTACAAATGCAGTTAAATCGATCAACTTTGTATTGAAGAAGGCAAAAAAGTTTCCGATGCTAGGCCTGGTTGATATTTATCTTTCCAAGACTGTGGAATGGATTGATAAGTATATAATAAAAGAAGGATATGTCGATGATTCTTAATAATTGACACCGCATGTTGATAAAGTAATGCATTAGCAGTTACAACAGTTCTGAATGGAACATTGATGACCCAAATTTTGTAAATCTTGTGGTTTTGCAACCTATAGTGGAAGAGAAAAGGAAGTATTGGAGGTCTAATAAAAAACAATATCTTGGTCCTAGTGAAATCCGAAAGAGAATCCATTATGCAAAGTGAACATCAACATCAGGGAGAACGCCTAATTTGGAGTGAAAAAAGAGACGAAATTTATATAATAATGGTGTATGTATTTGTATAATAATGTGTTAAAAAACCTTTGTATAATAATGTTGTATTGTGTTTCTACAATATTATGTTAAAATTTTTGTATAATACTATGTTAAAATAATTCTGAGTAAATTTAGTTATCCAATAATTTTTATTTACTCACGCATATATGTGACTCTTGTTATACACTAAATAATTTTACTTATATGAATCATCGTTGTGACCCATTGTGACCAGCATGTGACCATGTGACCGAAGTGCAATTTTGTACTGTGTGACCATTGTGACCGACTGTGACCCGTGACCAAAATGTGTTGATAAAAATAAGCCAAAATTTAATTTTTAAGCTTTGAGATGGTTTATCAGAGTGTATATATCAAATATGTAGTGTGTGTGTGAAAATTTCAAAATATTTTAAGGGCCTTATAGAATAAATATACCAAATTTATCAAAAGTACTCATAAAACACTATGAAACATATATGAACACATTTGGAAGAATAACTTTGAAACACAAAAATCGTAAAAACCATATTAACATGTCCAAAACAATATAGAATAAGCTTATGAGATATGTGTGACATTGTAGAGTGATTAAATTAACAAAAATCGAATGGATCGAAGGTTGTGACCGGTTGTGACCGACTGTGACCCATTGTGACCGAAATATGTTGTGGGACCTACACGAAGAACTAGTTAGAATTTTGCCAGATTTTTGTATTTCGTAGGATCCACAATCATTATTTCTATTTTTTGCTTTTAATATGAGACCCGGTTTGAATATTCAACCCTATATAATTTTTATTTTTAAACCCTATATTTTTTCTCCCAATTTTTAACCCCAAATTTTCATATACAACATTTCAACCTAAAATTTTCTGTAAAACATTAAAAAGTTCGTATTTGTGTTAAAAATAATACCACAAATCGTATAGGGTTCAAACGAATAACAAAAATGAGCTTAACATTAGGTTCAAATATAAAAAAAGGTGGTTCAAAATATTTTTCCGGTGAACTCACGATCTATTATGAATTGTCAAATTTTGTTGTTATTGTTGTTGTTGTTGTTGTTGTGATATCTCTTTCTTTATTGAATATAAAAAAAGGCAGTTCGAAATTATTTTGCCGATAAACTATCACGATCTATTATGTATTGCCAACTTTTGTTATTATTGTTGTTATGGTATTTCTTCTTCTTCTCGCTCATCTTCTATTATTATCTATTTTTCTTCCCTTTTTTATTAGAATTTTACTCTTCTTTTTCTTCTTTATAGATTTTCTGGAATAAATTTTCATTTTACGAATCTTTTTCTAGCATATGCTTTCCGAATTCAAATCTATATGTTTCACCAAAGAGATAATCGTTTGTGATTTGTACTTCCTTCATACTCCTCCATATAAAAGAAAATTGTTTCTTCATTCATTCATACATATAGTATATTTTTTATCCCTGAAAGAAAATATATATATATATATATATGACACCTTGTTACTATACTAAATCATGTGACCATGTGACCGTGTGACCTTGTGACCGTGTGACCATGTGACCATGAGAACGTGTGACCATGTGACCGTGTGACCTTGTGACCATGTGAACATATGATTCGTACTATGTGACCATTGATCATTGTCCGCGAAATCATAGTTTATATACTCAGATGTTGGATTATGTGACCTAAATAACCATTTGTCCTATGATTTTATGATCATACGATCATGTCACCTATATGACTTTGTGACCATGTGGCTTATATGATTATGACCATATATATTACCCAAACCATCATATCATTCATATATTTATACATTGACCCATATGATATTGTAACTTATATGACTGTTATGAATGACTTTGTGATTCAAACTGACTCATTTAACTCGATTTTAACTATTTCACATCACAATCGATTATTTGAGTTAAAAACCAACATTCTACTTCAAAATCCCCAAAATTTCAGAAACCCAAAACCCTAATTTGCACTTCAACTCAACAACAATAAATTTCAAAATCCAACCAATCTAAAAAGAAGTGTTCGTTTAACCTACCATGTGTTCGTCTAACGCCGCAATCTGCATAAGGATTTCATTTTTGGTCGAAGATTGTGACGAAAATGAATACAATGATGATTTTGAAGTTATGTTTCTTCGTTGTCGTCGTTTTTTCTTCATTGAATCTCAAATCTAGTTAGAGATTTAAAGGGGAAACGAAATTTTTAAGGAAAATAGAGATTTAGCGATGAAAATCTCTGATTTTTTTTTAGAGAGAACAAAAATGGTGAAGGAGAGGAGAGAGAGAAAAGAGTCGGGAGAGAGGAGGAAGAAGATAATAAAATATTATTTTATGTTTTTATTTTGAATTTTTTAAATTGAGAAATCCTTTACATTTTTTTACGAGAGGGTTTTATTGTCTTTTGTCATGTTCAATCTATTTTTTTGTTTAATTTTTTGTTTGGAGAGTATGTATAGAAGTAAAGATAGCAGGTGAAGGGTATTTCAGCAATATTGCATATGTGATAATTATTTAAGAATATCATCCCAAATATGATTCCAACCTTGGATATTATATGTACACACATGGTTATCAACAACAGTGACTCTATTTATAGAAACTAATCAAGATACCAAATTTTAAAATCGTCGTAATATGGCCGTATCATATGTGATACGAGTCGTAAATTATAACAACAATTTTAATAATTTTTATAATTATTAAGTTGCATCACATTCATATTATAAATATACATATATATACAGGGGACATGTGATGGTTCGCATGTGATAAAGCATTTGACAGACATGCTTCGCTGCTCTCCCTGCAACTCTCCTCCAATCATCCTTCTCCACGTGGCATTTCCTCCTAAATCAATGCCAATCATTTGAAATCCCGAATTTACCCCCCCGGAACTCGGAGATCGTGTCATTCAGTTTAAATATTTTTAATTGATAAAAAAACGAAAAGGCAAAGGAAAAACGGTCATTTTTAATTCAAAAGCTTTTGAAATTTTGAAAAAAAGGCTGCGTTTTTTCTGCGAAATCACCCAACATGTAGGGCTACTTCCGTGATTTCGGTCTCCGAGCCTCAGCTTGAAAAAAAGTTCAGTTTAAATGAACAAATTAATTTTGAAAATAGCGATTCTTAAATTAATTTTAAAATTTTGTATTTATTGTTAAATTAAAACGAGGAAAAATAGTAAAAAAATGAGTTAAAAAAAGTTTGCTAATTTTCCAAATATTCATTTGATTTTGTATGTGTGTAAAGGATAAAAAAGGAAATTGTTCATGCTGTAGAAATCCAGAATCCTATAGTCCCTTCTTGAAAAAATGTCATTTTCAGTATGTGAATATTTAAACCACAGTCTATTTGTGGATATTCACTCATTTATAGTCTTTATTTAATTTGTTTTTATCTACAAAACTATTAGGACTTTAGGGGTGCGTATTGGAAAAGAAAACAAATCTGGTGTGAGTTGTTTATACTGCAAGCCTATATACATATAATTATACTGTAATAATTTTTTATAATTGTATAATTATAATTGAAAATAAAATTATGAATAATATAATATGAATGGTAAAAAAAATGTGTGTAATTCTATTATATATGTATATATGACATTCTATATAATTATTTTATTAAATTTTTAGAGAGAGAAAGCACGAACAATCGGTATTATTATTACAAATCAAATTTTCAGATAAATAAGATTACATGAAATAATTTGATACAAATTAAAAAAAAAATCCCTCGAGAAAAGAAAAAGAAGAAGATAAAAATGGCCTCTTTCCTCTCCCTCTCCTCCTCCTCCTTGGGGTTTCAATAAAAGTCCTCTTTTTGTTTTTCTATTGATTCAACTGTTTCTCCGTGTTGAACTCGCGTTTTGTCGCAGACCCAAACGAAAGATTATAAAAAAGAAAAATTTGCTCACACGCAGATTTTTCTATAAGAAGATTTAGGGTGCGAAGGCGAAACTTTTCTAGGGCTTTGTTTTCATCGTTCTCGGATTCTTCTGAAGAAAAATCTAAATCCTACTTCAAATCTTCTTTTCGATTTTTTTCTCTCTCCCTTGATCTCTTCGTTTTCTGTTGGGTTTTCTCGTTCTGCTTCCTGATTCTGAGATCTTGGATCGAGCGCTTGCGTTTGGATCGTTGACTCGGCGGCGCCTCCCGATTTGGGTTCGCCGGGATTTCGACCTTTTGGTGAGAATTTTTTTCTGGGCAAGAAATTCTTTTGGGTGTTCGTGGAGATTAAGATTCTGAAAGGGAAGATTTTGTTGGGCGTTTGGTTGATGATGTCGACCCAAACTGTTGCGGTCTGAAGGACTATGGAATTGGTTGCTGCACGACAAGAACATCGACAAACAAGACGGAGAATATGACGCTTTACATTGGCCGCGAAGCTTCCAAGGTTCGTCATTTCCCCCAATTTCATTTCTGGGTTTATTGACAGGAGCTTTTGATTTTTGGATGGTTTGGATTCGTATTGGTGATGCCTTCTTCTTGTTCTTTGTAGTTATGGAAGCGATTTTGTTCAGAGATAGCTACAGAGATCGGTCTCCTTGCTGAGAACTGGAAGTACCTTCTCGCCGGTCTTGTCTTTCAGGTTTTCTGTCTTAAATTCAGTTTCAAAACTTCCTAAAGCTTTTGCCTTTCGTTTTGTACGAGGAGAACTTGCAAATACTTGAAATGGGTATTCGAGATCCAGTAGCTCCAACTTCGATTTGTGTTCGAGATCTCTAATGCTTAACGTTGATCACTAGTTCATCAGATTATGGTCTGTGGGAAATTCACTTGATAACAAGTTCTTATACTGAGCCATTGATTATTTTAACTTTATGAAAGAGAACTTGAATGGAAAGTGTAAGATACGGTGAGAGGTTATGATCATGGTTTGTTATACTTTGTAACTTTGATAAGAAAGCTTGTGCTTTTGGCGAAAGCTATATAAAAACTTGCGCTTTACTGATGAAATTGTGTTCCTGGATAAATATATTTCTAATTCGCCGAGCGGGAATAACTTGAGCATCTCGGTTCACTTCCATTTAAGCAATGTAGTTTCGATTTCGTGTAGTTTTGAAACCATTTGACACTCTGTGAAATTCATCTGTTGTGAGCAGTACATACATGGCTTATCTGCAAGAGGAGTTCATTATCTGCATCGTCCTGGACCAACCCTTCAGGATCTCGGGTTTTACCTTCTTCCCGTATGTCGAAAATCTCAGTATTTGATCACTTGAGAACTTACTCTCTCACTGGAAAACCCGTCTTGATGCTTAACTTTCGGTGAAAAATTCAGGAGCTTGGTCAAGAGAAAGGCTACATAAGTGAATCTGTGTTCACTTGCGTATTTGTATCGTTCTTCCTGGTGAGTCTTCCTCTGTTATTCATCTTTCTTTGACGGTGATTTGGCTGGACAAAATTTGTCAGTTTTATATGAGACTGGTTTTATTTGATGTTTGTTGTGGCTTTCTTGCAGTGGACATTTCATCCGTTCATCCTGAAAACCAAAAGGATATACACTGTGTTAATATGGTGCCGGGTTTTAGCATTCTTAGTTGTAAGTCCAAACTTCTTTAGCTATGACATCATTGACATGCCTCAAAAGCTTGTTCTTGTTGGTCTTTTTTCCTCTTTCTCGTAATCTTGAAGTATTTCAATCTGTTTTTGTGACAGGCCTGCCAGTTTCTACGTATCGTAACGTTCTATTCGACTCAGCTTCCTGGGCCTAACTATCACTGTCGGGAGGTAAAGCAACTGAAATCTATACACGCTATCATGTGTGTGCGCGTATGTATGTATTTGCATATGTGCTGAATGTACCTGCATTTGGATCCTTATTCTGGTACGATTTTTCTCGGGTTTTTACAGGGTTCAAAGCTTGCCAGGTTGCCACGGCCACAGAGCGTTCTGGAGGTGCTCCTAATTAACTGTGAGTACATATTTTCTTCCCCGAATCTTGTAATTTTGATCTGTATTCATTCATTTGCTTCTCTCTGCTCATACGATGCCCTTATCCCGTCAGTTCCCCGAGGTGTAATATATGGTTGCGGAGACCTGATTTTCTCATCGCACATGATTTTCACACTGGTTTTCGTTCTCACTTACCAGAAATATGGCTCTAAAAGGTACATCACAGTCTCCCTCGAAGCTGTACACAAAATCTTCTGACAACAACATATCCTGTTTTGGAAACTGCATCTTCAATCCTGATTCCGATCTGAGAATCCTGTCTGTGTTCTTGTTTGCATTGTCTCAGAATCATAAAGCTGCTCGGTTGGCTCGTTGCTGTAGTTCAAAGCCTCCTGATTATCGCCTCCCGTAAACATTACTCCGTAGATGTCGTCGTTGCATGGTATGGTGATTACTTATCGTGAAAAATCAGTTCTTTTACTAGAATTTCCACAGATTCAGAGATTCTTGAACTCGGGTTTTCGATAAATTCGTGTGTAGGTATACGGTGAACTTGGTTGTCTTCTTCCTAGACAAGAAATTACCAGGTCTGATTGATCTCTGATAACTTTCTTTAACTACAGACGTATTTCAATCTTGTCTGCAAAAATCAAAAACAAAAACAGAGATTCTTATTCGCTGTCTCCAAATGTACGACAGAACTTCCTGATCGGACCACGGTGTTGCTGCCTGTGATCTCCAAAGACAGAACCAAAGAAGAGAACCACAAACTCTTGAACGGGAATGGCACCGACCCTGCGGATTGGGTATGCATCCGATTCTGTTTCTGTCATCTGTTCCTCCTAAATGCCTCGATACGAATACGAAAATATGGAAAACCCGATACTGATAACGTATATTTTTCCCGATTTCGATTTGGTCAGAGACCGAGAACTCAGGTGAATGGCAAGATCTATGAAGACAGCAATGGAGTTCACACCGATAACGCAATGAACGGCGCATGAACTTGTTTACTGCAGTGGGTAACTTTTTTTTTTGTTTTTTTTTGTTACTACTGAATTGGGGGTAAAAAGGGATCAGAAGAAGCGTAAAAAGGGGAGGAGTCTCATCTATGTTCGTCGTACATTTCCCAGTTTCTTGCTCCTCAAGTAATCATCTCTCTCTTCGAGCTTCTTCGTATTTGATGATCTGATAAATCAGATTTGATTAATGCAACTGTTTGGAACTCGAGATCTGGAAATCCAATCTTGTTTTTGTAAGAATGCCATTTATGGTTCTGTATATAAGTATACGTATATATATATTTATATGTAGGGTTCTGTATATATGTATATGTATATATATATATATGCAATTTATACGCAGTCTTCTATTATATGTTTTATGTATGTATGTATACATTTACACACCAATGCGCGTAGCGTGTATAGATAGATACATGCTTTCATGCCGAAACGATTATACGGATTCCGGAAGAAAAGGAAAGGTGACAAGATGCCATATCATTATATATATATATATATTACACACACACATATTTATATGTATATAGATATCGAATCTAGTCATATATATAAATATCTTGCATGGGGCATTATTGAATGAAACAACGAAATGTGACACACACACGAAAGCCCTTTGCAAGCGAAAACTTTATTCTGATTCTGTCTTTGATGCTGTCGTGTTTCAACAAGCTCAAAAGCTATGTATACATATACATACATATATATATATATGTATATATGTATATATTAATATATAAACACGTATTAGTGTGTAAATAAAGTTTTTTCTCTAAGAGGATTTTCCGGATATTCTTATTAGATATTGGGAATTAACGTCATATATTATTTGTATCTATGTAAAGATATGTATAATTAAAACAAACACGAAAAATATTGGAATTGGATGGTACCAAAAATACGGGATGGGGGTGTAGTCAAAGGCACAACCCATGTGGGCTTCACATGTTATAACATCAACATCTCATTTTATATCGTAAAAAAATTACATCTAATAATCCAATTTTCTATTGATTTTTTTTCTTAAAATATCTAAAAATACATGGATGAATATACTAAAACTCACCAATAAAAAATTTCCCCCAATAAATATATAAATTATTTTAAAATTTTCACATAGTGGGGTGTTTTTTTATCAGATTAAAATATTTATATTTTGTAAAATAATAATTAGAATATTTAGATTTTAAAAATATTAATGAAAATTCGATATATATTTAATATTAGTGTGTATTTCTCCCATATTTTTTTTATTATCTCTGGGATTTACATTTTCCATTAAATGTAGAAGTTATTATATGGTGAAGGGGAGTTATATTCGACCGTTGTATATAAAAAAAATATTTTTTTTTTGTCTATGTAACGGGCAAATAGTCAATGATGGAGATGCGATGACATTAAAAGGTATATTTGATTACTCATCTCTGTGGTTACAAGACGTCGGGGAATAATTTTACATATAATTTTCCTTTCGAATACATTAAACATGTGACCGTCAATCTCCGTTTATCATCCCTTTAACAAAAACATATATTTTTAATTGATTGCATATATTATTCACGGTGTCATTGGCTTTATTTGATGAATGGTTGAATATTCATAGATATTTTTAGTTTAGTTTACATTATTTTGTTTAATAGTCGTCCAATTTTATACCTAATTTTAACTAAATTTTACAAAAATTCAATTATATATAATTTACAAATTATTATTATTATTATTATTATTTATATATATTTATAATATAATATTTTCATTCAAAAAATATAATCTATTTATTTTTAGACAAAATTTAAGCTATATATCATATAACATTATACGATTTGTATATCCAGATCTATATATCAGGTGCATACATATAAATATATATATATATATATATCTAATTTGGTAGGTTTTGATATGGAATTAACGTTGTTGCATGTATTGAATTGAAAAAAACCAGCCTCATTTTTCTTGATGGTTTTTTATTTTATTTCGAAAACCCTTTATATTTATTAAAATAATTGTTTGGGATTACGAGAAATTGGGTAATTTTGAACCCTAAATGGGCAGAAAACATTATGATACCAACTGTCAACTGTCTATAGATATGGTGCGTTTTATGATGCCCTTTCGTTTCTATCTTTACCTTTCCATCCTCTTTATATATATATATATATATATATATATATACTCACATGTATTTATAATGATGATTTTGGACCATCTCTTTCCATTTTTTTAAAAAATATTTGTAGTGTGGGTTATATGATGATGACTTGTGTTTGGACAAGCATGCCTATGTCTTTATATATATATATATTTTTTGCATTGCATAGAATAAGTTGATTAGAGTTTATAACACAAAAAATGTTACCAATCATGAATTCGTACAAATTTTAAATTTTGTGTATTTTATATGCAGGGTGTATGGTGAAGTATATATTTTTGTATTTGATGTTAGAATGTATCTGTGTTGACTCATTGACGAATTAACTGTCAGTAACGGGGTCGAATTACGTTGATAACATATACATACATATATATATATATATAAATATTATCAACCAGGATTATATATATATATATATAAAAAAAATAAGAAAAGTTCACGCGGTTTCCACATGAAAAAGCAATCATGCTTTTTCCTCATCTTTACTTGCAAAGAAACCGAGAATTACAACAGATGATTTGACCTCCGGTAATTCGGATTTAATTAATAAATAGTAAATAATTATGTGTATAAAATATAGAATTGCCTTAAAAAATTTGTACAACGGCCATAAAACGTTCAATATTTGCTCACATTAATATATAAAAATTATCACTTTCAAATAGAAAAAGGAATGGTAAAAAAGTGAAGGGGAAAAGTCGCTTTTAGGGCAAATTAAACAGATGAAGGATAAAACATAAAAACAACAATGGAAAAATAATTAAAAAAATAAAAAAAAAGAAAGCAAATTTCGCGTTCTTCTCCCTCGGCAGAGAGAGAGAGAGAGTCTTCTTCGCCGATACAAAAAGTCTCTTGCTTTCTTCTTCTACTTCTCAGCCTTTTCAGACTCTCTCTCTCTCTCTCTTTCTCCACATTCTCGATCTTGCTCATTGCGGTTGGCAGATTTTGAAATCTGAGGTTTTGTTATTGACTGGAGAATCTTCCGGTGATTCAATGACAACCACCGTCTCGCAGTTGTGACCTCTGTCTCCGTCGCCGTCTCCTTCTCTACCGCGAGTTCCGATCACCTGATTCCGCCGCTTTGTTATCAGATGGGAGGTCGCTGCTCTAAGTTCTCCTTCTGCTGGTTTCACTCTCACTTCAAAGCCTCTTCGGTGCTCGAATCCTCGGATCTCGGTTCGCTTTCTATAGCTCCTCGCTTTGATATTCTCCATTTCGGTTATTTTGGAGGATTTTCTGATTTTTCGTTGTTATTTTTGTGGTGGTGGCAGAAAATGGAGGGGAAAATGCGAAGAAATCGTGGCCGAGTTTCAAGGAATTCCGCTTGGAGCAGCTGAAATCGGCGACCGGCGGTTTCTCGGCGGACAACATTGTGTCAGAGCACGGCGAGAAAGCGCCCAACGTCGTCTACAAAGGAAGGCTCGACGACGGCCGGTTGATCGCCGTCAAGAGGTTTAACCGCCATGCCTGGCCCGATCATCGCCAGTTCTTGGTACATCTGCTTCATTCCCGATGCTTTAATAATCTCTGTGAAATCGATGGAGTTTCCATTCGGTTTTGGTCTGAATCTGAGAATCGATTTGGTTTATCAGGAGGAGGCGAGGGCCGTCGGGAGCCTGAGGAGTGAGAGATTGTCGAATCTTATCGGATGTTGCTGCGAAGGCGAGGAGAGATTGCTCGTTGCGGAGTTCATGCCCCAAGAAACACTTGCAAAGCATCTTTTCCACTGTGGGTTACTCACCCTCTTTATCTGTTACCATGGCTTGGAATCTGAAGGATTTCATCGAAATGCCATGAATCTTTTGATGATTTTTGATTTGGGTTTCTACTGATTCAATGATTTGGGGGGATCTTTGTTTGCAGGGGAGAACGAGCCGATGAAATGGGCGATGAGATTACGAGTTGCATTGTACTTAGCGCAGGCATTGGAATACTGTAGCAGTAAAGGGAGAGCTCTGTATCATGATCTCAATGCTTACAGGGTTTTGTTTGACAAGGTAACAAGTTCTTGATTCTTCTCCGTCTCTTCCTTCAAACGCTTTTGGTAGTTTGCTCTTCCTTTTCAAAATCTCACTCTTGTCCTTGTGGTTGACAGGATGGTAATCCGAGGTTGTCTTGTTTTGGGCTCATGAAGAACAGCAGAGATGGAAAGAGTTACAGTACAAACTTGGCATTTACTCCTCCAGAGTATTTGCGAACTGGTAGATCCTTGCTTGGTCTATGTTCTTATATTCCTTAGCTCCTGATATGCAATTTTCTGAATTTTTTTTTAACAAGGTTATATCCACCTCGAATTTGTGTGAATCTCAACCAGGTAGAGTGACACCAGAGAGTGTTGTGTTCAGTTTTGGAACTGTTCTGCTTGATCTCATGAGCGGCAAACATATTCCACCGAGCCATGTAAGTCTCTTACTGATAAGGCCGGTAAAGTCTAGAAGGAAATGCAGATCCTTTCTTGAAAATGCCGCACCATAGCCTTGGCAATGATTCTAGCGAATGATCTTTCTGTCAAAGTTTCGGTTTTAAGAATCTGAATTCTTACAATCGCTGTGTAAATCTATGTACTTGAAAGCTTTAACTAGAACAAACAAGCTTTTCTGCTTGGATTAGCATAGGTTTGATAGGAGATAATCTTCGTCTGCTTCCCCACATCGTGTTTATTGACTTTCTACTTGCTCGGTTTCAGGCACTTGACCTGATCCGTGGGAAGAATTTTGCAATGTTGATGGATTCTGCGCTAGAGGGTCACTTCTCAAACGAGGATGGAACTGAACTAGTGCGGCTAGCCACCCGTTGTCTGCAGTACGAAGCTCGAGAGAGACCAAACGTGAAATCACTCGTCACTTCGTTGACCTCACTTCAGAAGGAAGCCAATGTAATGCTAAAAAAAAAATCTTTAAACAAAGAGAATCGATATGTATCTTTCCGAATCCATTACGTCTGATTAATAACACAAAACCATATATTGGCAGGTACCATCATATGTTCTGATGGGTATACCCCATGAAACCAAGACTGAGGAGGATGAGCAGCAGCCCCTTTCTCTGACACCCTTTGGCGACGCGTGCTTGAGAGCGGATCTTACAGCCATTCACGAGATTCTTGAGAAGGTCGGGTACAAAGATGACGAAGGGATCGCCAATGAGGTACTTACATATCTTCCTTTTTATTACTTTGCCCACCCCCCGCATAAACTCAAGAACATGATTTGAACGATCTATTTTCCACAGCTCTCGTTCCAAATGTGGACTAACCAGATGCAAGAAACCCTTAATTCTAAGAAGCAAGGCGATGCAGCTTTCCGTTCCAAAGATTCTACAACCGCCATCGATTGCTATACTCAGGTAAATACATACTATACCCGCATATACAACGTCTTTTGCATGTTTGGATCGAACAATTATAGAATCAAGATAGCTTCTTCGAACTGTGTGATGATATATATTGGTCTCTTATCAACTTTTCCCGTTCCGCCCATCATGGAATCCGTAAAATAGCCCTTTACAATACTAAAAAAACACCGAATTTTATAACCACTTCCCAAGTTTTTAGCTGCAAAACTCATTTGTGGTATGATATATACAGTTCATCGAGGGAGGAACGATGGTGTCGCCTACGGTATACGCAAGGCGATGCCTATCGTATCTGATGAACGAAAACGCTCAGGAGGCACTGAACGATGCGATGCAAGCTCAAGTTGTGTCGCCAGACTGGGCAACTGCCTTGTACCTTCAAGCCGTTTGCTTGTTCAAGCTTGGCATGGAGGCTGATGCCCAGCAGGCTCTTAAAGACGCCACCCTTTTGGAATCCAAGAAGACCAAGCTCTGAATGATGATATGCTTCATTTGCTTGTATAGGTTATATATATACACATATATATGCGTGTATCTATCTTATCTATCTATCTATGTGTAAGTTTCATGGGTTTCTCTTTTTCTCCTCCTTTGTATTTATCATTGTTCTTCCTCGTATGTTGATGGTTTTCTTGCAACATCAGAGCATCTGATAGATTCATTTCGAATTCAAGCTTTAATTGGTTCAGTACAACATCTATATACGTATATATATATATATTGTATATGTGTGCGTATATGTTTATGCGTGTGTTCAGGAGGAGGATACATTGAAATGGAAAAGCCATGATATGAAAAAGGCAAAGACCATACACGCCAAGAGGACGTTAAGGAAGCGTTGGCCTTGCCATACGCTCGGACTCTCCGGCGGCTGACTCCCTCCTCCAGCCACCGTCACCGTGGCTCCGCCGTTGGCCACCGTCTCCTGTTCCTCCGGAGACGCCGTGATTGCGTTTGCTCCGGCGATGTTCCGGGCCACCGAGTGGCATATCTCACAAATCCTTCATATGACCATAATTATGGAATAAAATAGGATTAAACCCATAACCATGAAAAAGAAAATAAAAGTGATGTGCTTTAGCGGTTTCCTAAGCAATAATTATCTTAGTGATTAAGAAAAATAGCACATATAATGGAACGTGAAATCTCTTTTGCTTTATCCAAATAAGAATTTTTCTTTAGTTTTTTTTGGGGGTAGTGCCCAATTAAAGCTTGGGTCTTTTTACTAGCGTTTCAAATACATTCAACGGTTCGAATATTTCTAATTTAAGAATCCCAATTTCACAATTAAGAATCAAATTTTTGTAATGATGTTGGCATTAATAAGTTCAAAACTTCGTTACATTTGGAACATTATTGATTCCACCACTAATCTAATGAAAGATTTAATCAGATAATTTTCACGATTAGAGAGAGAGAGAGAGAGAGAGACGTACTCGTCACCTTTGATCTTGAACCAAGTCTCTGCGCATTGTCTATGGACAATCGCCAAATCGTCCTTACAGGAACACCCCAACTCAATCCCACCGCTCTCCGCTCCCAACTGACAAATCCGACAATCTCTTTTCATTTCAGCAGGAAAAGGACGGCGAAATTACCAGACCAGGACTTGAGATACTAATGCATCTGGTTACGGATTTAAGAGCAGTCGTACCGACAGATCCTGAAAACGAGACATGAGTAAAATGTGAATTGAAGAAGCTAATATATGTTCATCACCTATTGGAAATCAAGACTTTGCCCACCTTGTGTGTTCAATCTGACACGACAGGGTGAGATTATAGTTACGCTCTCCTCGAGTCGTCGCAGTCGAACGAACCTCCGCTGATCGAGTAGAAGCAGGAGCCCACGTCATCTTCGCCGTCGGAGAAGCATACGCTGACGTGACTCTCATGGTACGTCCCCTGTTCTATATCGATGTGGGACATTGCCAAGATCAGAGCTTTTCGAAAACCCACTATCAAAATTTGGGAATTTCCACGAGGGTTCGGCCAAATTTTGAAAACTTTTTAAAGAAATGGGTTTGATGGATTTGGTGAACCCTAATCTCCATTAACGCTTTTGCTAATTAAAAAACATTTAAACAGTGAAATTGCAGAGGAGAGAGCAATGATACATGGAGCAGGAACGAGTCGAACACTGCCAAGAAGAACACAGTAAAACATCATCGATGGTTTTCCTTTTATAAAATAAAATAAAAAACACGACAGATGATAAATAATGGAATATCAATTTTATTCCAAAAGACGTAAAATTTAAATTAAAAGAAGTAAGAATCTCCGTTTTCCACGTCGGCATTGGATTACCAAAAACACTCCACAGGGAAAAGAGGAGAAAATAATAGTAATTTTTTTTAATTAGAAAAGAAAAACAGGCTGGTGGGTCTTGCTTTGATGGGGAAGACATACATTCATTTATGATTTTTTTTATTAATAATCAACGGAATTATAAATATTCTTCATATATCTCAAACCTCATTTGAATCCTATTATCTGATTTTTTTTTATATTGGAATATGATCTTGAGATTTTCTGATGAATACAAGTATAAACTCTTGTATATATATAAAGATTCAAAATCCCATAATTATCTCATCTAATGAATCGATTTTTTTTCTTACAAATTTTGGATTTTCATCAAAGTTCTGGGTTCTGGCATTTGCTATGCGCAAAATGCACTTCACCATTTAGTTTTTTTTTTAAAAAAATTATAAAGTTGAAATGGTTTTGATGTTGTAAAAAAAAAAAGAGGATAAATGATGAGTATTGTATTAGATGATATCATCCAATACATATTTTATTTTTGGGACAAAGAAAAAGACAGTACAAAAGTAGTTGGCTCTGTCTTTTAACAGATTTATGTTAAAACTTGGAAAGGTGTTAGAGGTGAACTGAGGGAGTATCTCTATGTTGAGTTGAGTTTGGTTCAACAGAAACATTTGGCTGCTCATCTGATTTAATTAGGTGTGTATTTAGAAACACAAACGTGTGTGTAAGAGAGATACATATTTAAATGTAAAAATATTAAATTTTATTTTGATTTATAAAATGAAAAATAAGAGGTCAAATCTAGCCATAATAATTCGATAAATAATATTCTACCGATATGGATGGTTAAGATCGTATATCATAAACACAATAGCATTGATTTATTCTGATATTTTAAAAATATGGACTAAGATCAAACGAATAAATAGCAAAGAAATATAACCTCTGTATTTGTTTTTTCGTATGTTCATAACAAAAAAACATTTTTGAAAAATCTACACATATAATGTACAATTGATCTGATATTTAAAAAACTTTAGACGAGCGAAGTTTATAAAAATAGCAAATATATATATATAAAAAAAAATAGAATAAAAAAACACAGTGGAACAATCACCGAGAGCTCCGACACTGTGAAAATGGGAGCGTGAATGTACGCGCCAATAGTGCGCGTGGTGATTCAACTGCCGCATAGTTATAATTTATTTATTTTTATATATAATGGGACCCGTTAAGTATTTGTTTGGGCTTCAAATCATTTAGTTTGGAGCAGTTTATTTTCTAGGCCCATTAAAATCTTAAGGCCCATAAATAAGCCACGTGTCAGAACCAGTGGTCAAGATTTTGATCTGGAATCCGAAGATAAGTGGGGCCCATGCAAAATCGAACCCACCTCACATTCCCTCCCCCTTCATCTCCGGTCTCCCTCCTCCAAAACATCCATTGCCAGAGCCCCCCGCCGCAACGACGTCGCATCACCTATTGATCTCGAGCTCGCGCCACGTGGCCGCTTCTCATCCACGTGTGCTTCAGTATCCGCGATGTCTGATCGGCGGAAAGCGGGGGAAGTTCCAGGCGGAGACGGGAGGAGTGAGATGTATGGCGGTGGCGTCGGAGACGACGGAGACGGCAGTGAAGGGGAAGAAGAGTGGGGGATACGATGTGCAGACGTTGACGAGCTGGTTGCTGAGGCAGGAGCAGAAGGGGACGATAGACACGGAGCTAACGATCGTGATCTCGAGCATATCCATGGCGTGTAAACAGATCGCATCGCTGGTTCAGCGTGCCGGAATCTCTAATCTCACCGGCGTTCAAGGCGCCGTCAACGTTCAGGGCGAGGATCAGAAGAAGCTCGACGTCGTCTCGAACGAGGTCACCTATACATACATAAAAGCGTGCATACACTTCATACTTCTCACAATAACGATACCGGATGAATGAAGAAGATGGAAATTACATATTGACAAAGAAGCTGAATCAATTGAAAATGGTTTTGCGTGTAGGTGTTCTCGAACTGTTTGAAGTCAAGTGGAAGAACAGGGATAATAGCGTCGGAGGAAGAGGATGTTCCGGTGGCGGTGGAGGAGGGTTACTCCGGCAACTACATCGTAGTCTTCGATCCTCTCGACGGCTCCTCCAACATCGACGCCGCCGTCTCCACAGGCTCCATTTTCGGCATCTACAGCCCCAACGACGAGTGCATTCCCGACACCGACGACGACAACTCACCCGTAATTATACATATCCCCTTCTTTGATGGACGTTACCACGGTTCATAATGCATATAGGGGTGACTACGGGTAGAGTATTTGATATTTTTAGTTTTCTCGAATCCGAATAAAATACTTCGAGTACAAATATTGGATTCGTTTGGTAGGATATCCGTGATACCCAAATTCGAGAACCAAAAACGAAATGTCGGATTGTTTTTTATTCTTCTAAATATTATATAAAAAGAATTAATAATAATAATAATAATTTGTACCCAAATTTCAGTTTTTTCTAGCCCTAGATAGCCGAATCCGAACAATTTGTGATCTTTTGCTTATAAACAGCCTTAAGAGTTTTACATTATTGTATTGCAGCTTGGATCCGCAGAGCAAAGGTGTGTGGTAAATGTATGCCAACCAGGGAACAACTTGCTAGCAGCCGGCTACTGCATGTACTCGAGCTCTGTCATCTTCGTCATAACGTTAGGACAAGGCGTTTTCGCCTTCACACTGGACCCAATGTACGGTGAATTCGTCCTTACACAATCCAACATTCAGATCCCCAAATCCGGAAAGATCTATGCCTTCAACGAAGGAAACTACCAGTTGTGGGACGACAAGCTGAAGAAGTACATTGACGATCTTAAGGACCCTGGTCCGAGTGGTAAACCCTACTCAGCTCGGTACATTGGAAGTTTGGTCGGAGACTTTCACCGTACATTGCTGTACGGTGGTATATACGGTTACCCACGTGACAAGAAGAGCAAAAACGGGAAGCTGAGACTCTTGTACGAATGTGCACCGATGAGTTTCATCGTGGAACAAGCCGGAGGAAAAGGGTCAGATGGTCACCACAGAATTCTGGACATCCAACCGACGGAGGTTAGAAGAAGTTCCATGATTCATTCCCACTTCATATTTACCAACCTATAATCCAAAAGTTTGTAACTTTTAAAAGGATGATGATTCCCTATTTGTTTTTTACTCTTTAACATGACAGATACATCAGAGGGTTCCGCTTTACATCGGAAGCGAGGAAGAAGTGGAGAAGCTAGAGAAGTACCTGGCTTGATTCAGAAGCAATACACAAGGTGGTTTTGCGAGCAATGATCTAAGCTCCTCTTGTAAGGCAATTTGTTACTTCCATGCAAATAGAGACATAAGTTGTAAAAGGAAGAAGTCTGTTCTGTTTTTTTATCCTAAAGAATTTGATTGTTAATAGCAATGGAGGGAGAGAATTGAGCATCCCAACTCTATACTACTATATGGCCTGACAAAGAAATAATGTGTAGTAACTTACATGCAGTTAGGACAACCATACAGGTGCTGTTTTTTCAGAGTTTACCAGTTGAGGATCTGAATCAGTTCATGACTCTCTGCCTGGCGTTCTTCTTCGCTGTGAAGACACAAGTATGGTTGAGTTAGGCAAAAAAGATGCATTGGGGAAATATGCCGAACTTTTCATTTCAGCAGGCAAAGGACG